TTTTTAAGTAGGCTCCATGCCCAGTGGGGAGCCCAATGCGCAGCTTGAACTCACAACCCTGAGATCAAGACCTAAGCTGAGATGAAGAGTCAGATGCTTAACCGACTGAACCACCCAAGTGCTCCTAGAGTTCGTATTTTTAGGTTAGACTTGATGTATTCTGTTTTACTTTTGTCCTACGAGTTCCAAAACAATGCTCTAAAGTAATAATTGAGTACTTCCATATTAACAATATATGTATGGTTAACCACTTATTTACTTATAAAAATCTTATTTATCATTGTTGAACACTTGATTGTAATCAATTCTCTATCAGAATAATAGAGAAAGTTTTAAGTATAAATTATTCCAAATCTCAAATGTTACAATGGAAATACAAAATAGGGAGCAATGATCTCTTATTAGAATACAAATAATTACTCTTTCAATTAACATTTGTGATTATTTCTTTTTACTCCTTACTAAAAACATCTTTAGAATAAAATAACTATCCTTTGTGCAAACTTACTGACAAAGATGTACAAATAGGTAAGAAAGCATGCCTGAGTTTCCTTTTTTCTTAATATAATATTGTCCTCGGCCTGCTTTTCAATGGAGGTAGAAATAAGCACAAGTTAAATAGACTGAAGGGGAAATATAACTGGAAAAGAGAAGGAAAGATAAAATCCTAACTATATCTAGAGTATTCAAATTTTAGGAACTGAGATGCCAAGAGTCTGCCTTCTATTCTTCCTGTTTATGGAGAGGGAAAGCTAAAGACAGAGGTGCCTGATGAAGAAAGCAAGAGATATCAAACCCCCTGACCTCAAAATATCTCCTTTACATATTCTAATAATTTCCCAGAAGTTTCTGAATTATTACTTAAAAATGTAAGCAATTCTTGGGAAGACTTAACATAGTGCCTTATATTACTAGATCTACAAATAACCAAGTTTCTGTCTATAAGGAAGTTATCTAAACGGACCCAGAAGATACATATGCAAATAACTGTAATACAAAGCAAAGATGGTAAGACAACAGGACTTATTTTATGGGAGGAGAGGGACTTGAGAAAGTATTACCAACTTGGGAAAAATTATGAATGTTACAAAGAAGAGGTGAGTCTTGAAGGATGTTTGGGGAATCCCAAAAAAGCTGATGAAAAGTATACATGGAGAACATGTTTGGGGGACGTGCCCAGTTTGGAGAAAGCACAACGTATATGATGGAGAACAGCTGGAGATACAACTGAAAAGACAGAATGGGTAAGGATCCAAAAAAGCTGTAAATGTCATCAATGACATTTTTATGAATAAAGAGGATATAAAGACAGTCTGATTAATAGAAAACAGAGTAACAATCTGACTAAATGACATATTCAGTAAGCAAAAAAGAAATGTTATGATCACAGCTGCACTTCTGTAAATATTTACTAAATATTTATAATGTCTTAGCTACGTAAAGGTGAATAGGATCAGTGGCTCTTGACCTTTCAGGTGTGTCAATTCTGATTCTGTTTGCCTTCAAATCTCTTCTTCCTCTCTCTTTTGCTCTGAGCTGTGTGATAGGAAACCTGACCCCACACAGGCAATGTTTCCTAGGCTCCATGTCAGCTGGCTTCTTCTGGCTGTGTTCAAACAATGGGAAGCACTGGGGGGGGGGACTGGATGGCAGCTGGAAGAAGCCATGTAGTTTTGCTTTAGTAGATTCTCCTCTGTGACTACCGCTCCCTCACCAGAAAAGTCTACTTTGCATCTTCCAGCGAGAGAACTGGGTCTCTGGACTGCTTCATTTCTCCTAGTCCTCATCCTTCTAATTATCACAGTGGCTTCCTGCCGTTGCCGCTGTACAAATTGGCTCACATAAGCTGCTTGTCTTCTTAGTTTTTCTATCACCAGTGTAACCAGTGTAACCAATTCCCTCATTAGATCCTTCCACGTTAAATACTCAGATTGGTTTCAGTTTTCCTGAATGGATTCTGACTCACACAGAAAGAACAAACCTATTTAGAAATCCAAAAAACGTTCTGGCCCCTTCACTCATAAAAATGCCCCACCTGATGTAAACCTTTACAGTTTTGGGGGCTTCCAAGAACTTTCAAAGCCTGTCTTATTAATCCCAGATCAAGAAAAATGAGGACAAAAGTTAAGTTTCAGTTTGGGAAGATGAAGTTCTCTACAGGTGGATGATGGTGATGGTTACAGAACAATGTGAATGTACTCAATGCCAAAGTGTACACTTAAAAATGGCTAAAATGTTGCATATATTTATGTCATGTATATTTCACTAAAGTAAGTAAACACAAGCAAAGCTAAAACATGGTCAAGTAAGGGTTTCACAGAAGTGAGGTACAAGGCTGCTGAAGCACTTAAGGAGACATTTATAGTTACACCTGCTAGGAAAGGTTTCAGAGACCGTGGCTTCCATCTGGAGAAACTCCCAAGTAGCTGGCATGCCTACAGCACAGGGCAGACACTGAAAAGCTGAGATCAAGCAGGAGGGGCAGGCAGAGTGAGTTCCACAGAGCAGCCTGTACAACACACTGAGAAAACCGAAGTGGTGTCCCAAAGGTAGTAAGCAACACTTTGATGTATTTTGGCCTGTGTAATATTTACAGAGATTCCAGCAAGACAACTGCTGGACATCGCTGAGGAGCAAGGGCTGGTTACGTGTAGTGAGGTTCAAGTCAGTATGGTATGTTGAAGAATGAAAGGCAGGTGGGAAGTAGAGTTCATTCTTTGATTTGTAAAAGGGTGACACAGAGCATTAAATAGAATTAGATAGAATGTGTGGTGAGGTCTAGGTAAAGTATTTTGGGGTTTGTGTGCGGGAGGGGCACATGCCTGAGGGTAAAGAAACCTAATTATGTGAACTCTAAGGGGAACTACTTCTCTATTCTTAGCATTTAACAGTGTCTGATACTAAGCACCCAAAGATTTCTTTAAAGAACATTATGAAGAAAAGGAGTAGACAAAAAGAGAGGTGAAGATAAGGAGGGGGTACTGAAAGAAGAATCATGACAAAATAATGAAACTGGTACAATTTTAAGCCTCTAAGTTTTGGAATTATACATCTGTGTGTGCTGATATGAGCTTCAAGACATAATATTAGAGTAAGAATGAGTGTGGGGAGACCTTTTTTTTTGTATCATGTATTCTTTTGCAAAACTTGAAATTTTGATAACTGCACCATTTTTTCTTTTAGAATACGTGTAGTATGAATGCTTTAGGCAGATTTTTCTTAACAGTAAATATCAGTAGCATGACTATATCAGAAGCGATGACAGAAGTCCCAAAGAAGGCACAAGGGAGGGGCATATTAAGTAGGATTGGTGGCAATTAAAATGGAATGTGAATGACAAAGAATTTTTAGGGTAAGAAACAATGAATTTGGAATTTTTATCCATTAAAAACAGGAGGAGTCAAGCAGAGCAGCTGGTTTGTGGAGAATACAATTTGGTGTGAATTATTCCAGGTAGAAAACCATATTGCTTTAAGATCAGTTGTTATTAACCAGGGATGATTTTACCCTCCAGGGAACATACTGACAATACCTGGAGACATTCCTTTTACTGTCATAAGTGGGGGGGAGTGGGGTCTTATTGGCATCTAAGGGATAGATGCCAGGGATGCTGCTAAACATCTCACAATGCACAGGACAGCTCCCCATAATAAATAATTACCTGGCCCCAAATGTCAATAGGGCCAGGGTGAGAAACCCTATTAAAAACTATAGTTACTGAAACTGGAGTGGATTACCAAATTGCTAAAACCCAAAAATCCTTAAACTATATGCCAGGAGGAAAAAATAAAGTACGCCAATGTTACCTTGAACAGTGTTAAAGTCTACTTTAAATGGGTTTCCATATAATCCCAGTAAATGTAACAATTACAAGACAGCCAGCTTTTTCTCACAGAAACAGATGGAGAATAACTACTGGTAATTCAGTTCTGATAAAGCAGGCAAAAGATTAACATTAACAAAATGTTAATTAAAACTCTCAAGTCACTAGTTTCTCCAAAAAGGGCCGTGCAACCGTTACCCTCTCCTGTTTCCTGCACAATGTGCTCACCAAAAGCCCCGAGCACAAAGGCCAGTTTTCCGGTAAGGCTGGGTATTTAAAAAAGTAAGACAAATGGGACTTTTCTAACAATAGGGTAAGGACAGTAATTCCTGCGGACACTAAGGGAAGTTTCATCACAGATATTTACCATTTACTTTCAGGGGTGTCGGGTACGAGGTCTGCACACCGCCGGCTCGGGGTCTGAGCTTCCGAGGGCTCTCGCTCCCGGCAGCACGACCCTCTCGATTCTTCCCGGGGACACGCAACCACAAAACCCGTTTCCCCACACGGACAGTACTCCCTGACGACAGACCCGTGACACTAACCGTCCTCAAATGGAGGAAGAACGAACCAGCAGGACTAGCACACGTTCACCTGGAAGGCACTTTCCTCTGAAATCTCTGGCCGGTCGGCAGATGAGGAATGGCTGCAGTTACTTGCAACATGCAGATGGCATTTCAGACCCCCTGCGCTGGGCTACTCACCGCGGGAGGGAGGGCGAGGGATGGACAGGGACGATCACCCCCGTTCGCCCCAAACTCGTCGTTGCCGGGGCGGGGTACGAGAAGGACGTCGCGAAGGTCTCTCTACGAGACCGGCCGGCCCGGGGACGTCCTCGTGTTCCCTAATCTGGTCCCAGCCCTGACAAGTCTCCTTCCGGGGGCCCCGACCAGGCGTGCAGGCCTGGCTCCCCCTCCGAACCCGGGCCTCAGGTGTTCCGCCCCGCGCTTCTCCTCGGCCCTCCCCCCGCCACGCAGCCTCCGGGGAGCGCAGCCCCCGCACACAAAGAGGCTTACGCTGCCCGAGCGCCCGGCTCAGGGGAACCGCCGCAGGTCTCGACCTGCAGGCGGGGAGGCAGAGCCCCAACTTCCCCACCGCGGGGAGAACCTTTGCCCCGAAGGTCGCTCCGTCCTGCTCAGCCGGGCCCGCTACCCGTCCCTCCCGCGCCCGCGCTTACCCAGTACTAGTCGCGCTATGTCCGACGGTAACAACATGACCGAAGCCGCAGCAGGAACCGCCACAGGAGACGAGACTCAGGTAAAAGCCAACACAGCGACAGCTCCTGCGCCGCATCTCCCGGTTCCAGTGGCGGCACTGAACCCGCGGCAATTTGTCCCGCCTCTTTCGCCCCGCGTCCGCCAATCGCTTCCGCCCGAGAAAGAAAGGCGCCGAAATGAAACCCGCCTCCGTCCCCCTCGGAACTGTCGTCACTTCCGTTCTCCTATTCTGAGGGGTGGGGCTGAAGGTGGCGAGGAGGTGGGACGCAGGCGCAGCGGCCGGAGCCAGGGGGCGGGCAGCGGGCGCAAGGACGCACGCCATTGGCGGGTAACGCGCAGGAGCGTTTGCCCCGAAGAGCCGAATGTTTTGAGGCGAGCGAGCGCAAGGACGCAGAGCGTGCGGGGGTCGGCGCGCATGAGCAGATGGTACCCGCTTCCGGGTGACCCTCACCTCTTCTTCGGGAGATCCGGGCTGCGTGGTCACGCCGCGTTTGAACCGGAAGCGGGAATAGTGGGTGTCCACCTGGCTGGAGGCGCTGGGGCCGCGGGGGGGAAGTGAGTGGAGCCGGGATTTAGGCTGCAGCCGCCGCCGCTTTAGGAAATTCCGCGTTGGCTGTGCGAGTGCACCGTTAGGGGTGTGGAAAGCGGGCGGTGGCTTCTGCGTCGGGGGCTGCAGGCGTGTCCGAGCCGCTCGGCGCCGGCCCCCCCCCCCCCCCGACGACCGGTCTCGCCCGCTGCTCTGGCGCGGACCTTCCCTGCTCGCTGCACCGTCTCCCTCCCGCCCTCTCTCCGAGCCCCTAGCGGACTTAGCCTCGAACCTTCTTCCAGATGCCCCGTTGCACGCTCCTGCGCGTCCCCTGTCCCTGCCATTTTAAGGCCCCGATTTAACTAGATGACTAACCATGTTTCCCCCCCTTTTGTTGCTTAGTTTTAACCCACGAGCATCTCCTGAGGCTTAGAGTGGCGTGGTTAAGAGCACGGACTCAGGAATTTCGTTGCTGGACTTGGAATTTTGGCACACATGTGGGTGCCCGCGCTGCCCTGTCTCACTGGAGGGAATCCTTGCCCGTGGTGAGCCCTCAAGAGCATTCGCTGCTGTTTTTACCAGGTACCGAGAAGTAAAAGGACTCTTAGAGCTCAGGGTGATCGTTGAGGGAGAACCGCGATCGTAGAGGAGCTAATGAGGTTCTGCGAGGAGACCTCGAGTTGTTCAGTTGCCCCCGGAGGAGGATGGTGGGGGCCCTCCACACAGGAGGAGAAATGCGTGTAAAGACACAAAGCGTGGAAGGTTTCAGAAGCTCAAGAGTGAGGTCTGGCGTTGAACGAAATAAATGTGGGCATTTTCAGCATGTTGAGGTCTTAGGGATGGATGAGGTCACACTGGGAGAACATCGGGTGGGAAGTAGGGAGACAGAGATAGTCTTTTTTTTTTAAGATTTTATTTATTTGGGCGCCTGGGTGGCTCAGTTGGTTAAGCGACTGCCTTCGGCTCAGGTCATGGTCCCGGGGTCCTGGGATCGAGCCCCGCATCGGGCTCCCTGCTCTGCGGGAAGCCTGCTTCTCCCTCTCCCACTCCCCCTGCTTGTGTTCCCTCTCTCGCTGTGTCTCTCTCTGTCAAATAAATAAATAAAATCTTCAAAAAAAAATTAAAAAAAAAAAAGATTTTATTTATTTATTTGACAGGCACAGCGAGAGAGAGAACAAGCAGGGGGAGTGGGAGAGGGAGAAGCGGCTTCCCGCGGAGCGGGGAGCCCGATGCGGGCCTCCATGTGGGGCTCGATGCGGGGCTCCATCCCAGGACTCTGGGATCATAACCTGAGCCGAAAGCAGACACTTAACGACTGAGCCACCCAGGCGCCCTGACAGATAGTCTTGCAGGTGTGGGTGAAAGAGGGAACCATCAAGAGAGACTTAGGAAACGAAGGGAAGAATGGTGATTTGTGACATTTATTGATCATTTGTTGTGTTCAGGCACTGTGGCAAATCCGTACATGAATCTTTAACAATAACTCTGAAGGAAGTTCTAGTATTGTTTTTCATTTTATCGTTGACAGATCTGAGGTTTAGAGAGATTGGCTAATGTGTCCAAGGTTATACATCCTGTAAGGGGCAGGGGCAGGATTTGAAACAGTATAATCTAACAACAGAGCCCACACTATTACTCCAGAAAAAAATGGCATGCCAAGGGCAGAATTAGATGCAGGAAGATGCGATGGAAGCATCATTGTCAAATTATGCAAAGCCACCAATTTGATTGAAATCTAAAAAGGAAGGTTGGACTTGCCACTTAAGAGACTGTTGTTCAGGAAGTATGTATGGTTTCAGTTGCATGTTGGTAGGGGGCTTAGTTCTGGGTTAATATATCAATTGAATTCAACTTTATCTGTTTCCTCTTTTACTCTGACTGCTCTGTAGTTCCTTTGGTTTTTTCAATTCCTTCAACACACCATGAAGTTTGCCATCTTAGGACCTTTGGGTGGTACTAGTCTCCTTCCCCAAAATATTGGTCCTCTAGCTCTTTCTCTGATTGGCGCCAGTTCACACCTTAGCTTTGTTGTAACCTCTGCTGAGATGTGTTCCCTGGAAGTTTAGCAAAAGCGATCCTCTTCATTGTTATTGTGTATTTGCCTCCTTTAAGTCATTTATCATACTTTGGAATTAGGCATTGATTTTTCAGTGTACTTGTGTATTGTCACTCTCCCCCACCATTTATGACTCCAGAAGGGAAGGAGTTGTGTCTGTTTAATTCATTATGTCTAGCTATCTCTGACATAGTACCTCAAACAAGTAGTGGCCCTGTAAATATTCTTGCATGTATCAGTGAAAGAATGTTTCCTGACTGTTTGGTTTTCTTCAAAGTAATCAGTCTTTGAGAAACGGAAGAGAGGAACACAGAAGGAGACAAATAGAAAAACCACAGCTTTAGAAGAAAAAAGGAAGTTTGGGGCTGCGTCTTTCTGAAGTGTCACATGGTCAGTAAACCTGCATTTTTTTTTTTAACGTTATAAATAACATCTTCAGTATACTTAGAAATAAACATGCCTATGTTTATGGTTCTTTGGATATGGATATTGTTAAGGTGTTTTCATTTTTTACAGTCCCAGTTTTATTTTCCTTATTGACTCAATCAAGAGGGTTTTAAACCAAGATTGACTATGAAGGGGAAAGAGACCTAGATAAAACCATAAGGAATGGAAAATAAAAATAATAGCCCTTTTCCTCAAGAAGTTTACATTCAAATGAAAAAGACCTTTGGGTAAATAACCTATAATCTACAGCAAAGTAAAGGATGTTGTAATAGGGATAAAAGAGTCACAACAACCAATGAATAAAGATGGAGAAGCGAATTAGAGCTACCTACCAATGAAATAGGTAGGCTTGTTAGGTAGTGTGCTCTCACTGAGTGTTTAAAATGAGTGTTTAAATAATTTTGTAGGACGGATTTCTTCCTTTATAGAAAGATTAGATGTGGTCTCTCAGTTCCAATTTTACGACTGAGTTAAACAACAGCAAAGATACATACTTGATCTTTAAAGAATGAGTGGAGTTTATATGAATGGATGGGAAAAGGACTCCCCTTTTTCCTCTTGAGATATGTCAAGGACAAAAAAAAGCATGTTTTTTTGTTTGTAAACATTTATAGTCTAACAAAAAGGAAACTTCTTTGTAACAAGAGTCAGAAATAACGACACAAAATGCTTTTTTTATGTGAATTTTTTTTAATGGTTATCAAAGGAAGGTTTGATATGTCCGAAAACATAGGAGGAGGAGTGCTACCGCAGTGGCATTAAGGCACAGTAAAATGTAGTTTATTTTTGGTACTGTAGTATTTGATTCCCTTTTAAAACAGGAGCAGAGGGGCACCTGGGTGGCTCAGTCGTTAAGCATCTGCCCTTGGCTCAGGTCATGATCCCGGGGTCCTGGGATCAAGCCCCGCATCGGGCTCCTTGCTCGGCGGGAAGCCTGCTTCTCCCTCTCCCACTCCCCCCCGCTTGTGTTCCCTCTCTCGCTGTGTCTCTCTCTGTCAAATAAATAAATAAAATCTTTAAAAAAACAAACACAGGAGCATAATTGTCCTTGTATTTTTATGTTTTAAATGAGAACCATAAAGCCAGTTGAGACTTAAGTGCTAGGCAAGGCTTACTGGCTCTGATAACCTCCTACATAGCAATTCCAAAGCATAAGCAATTTCAGCTTTTGGCTCAGCAAATGACATACCTTGTCACTCCATGTAAGAGTTAAATGGTTAAGAGTTAAATAGTTAAGCTGGTCAGTGTTAAATCCTTAAATGCTCTTTTTTTTTTTTTTTAAGGTTTTTAAATTGATTTATTTTCGAGAGAGTGCGCATGCACTCTGGGTGGGGGGTGGGGAGGAGGAGGGAGAGAGAAGGAATCTGAAATAGACTCTGCGCTGAGCATGGAGCTCATCGTCGCGGAGACTTGATCTCACCACTGCGAGTTCATGACCATGACCTGAGCGGAAACCAAGAGTCAGATGTGCTTAGCTGACTGAGACCCAGGCACTCCTTTCTTTTCCATATTCTTTTTTTTTTTTAAGATTTTATTTATTTATTTGACAGAGAGAGAGAGGGAACCCAAGTATGGGGAGTGGAAGAGGGAGAAGCAGGCTTCCCACAGAGCAGGGAGCCTGAGGCAGGGCTCTGTCCCAGGTCCCTGGGATCATGACCCAAGCCGAAGGCAGATGCTTAATGACTGAGCCACCCAGGTGCCCCTCTTTTCCTTATTCTTGATCTGGCTGTCTTCTGTTGATCTTTACATTTTAATTTAATTATCATGTTTCTTAGGAAAGGTCTCAGAACAATAAAGTATATGTTTTCTATTTTTATCCTGCTATTGCACATAAGTACCCATTTGCATGTTGGGGCTTTGTTTTGATATACTCTAAGAAAATCTCACTTGAATATGGAAACGTTAAGAAAAATCATTGTATGTTTGATCATAACGTGCCTCTAATTGTACAGTTTGATCTGACTATATATTAATACCACAATTTGAAGTAATTTTGCATTTGTGTGTTTTTTTTACAGTGATGTGCTTTTTGAAATTCTGAACCATGAGTTTAGCACTTAATGATCTGCTTATTTGCTGCCGTCAACTAGAACATGATAGAGCTACAGAACGAAGGGTAGTAAATTACTGAAATTTAATCTTTTCTTGAAATGAGTGTGTGATTGGCAACCCATTACTGTGTTCTTTTTCATTTTCAGAAAGAAGTTGAGAAATTTAAGCGCCTGATTCGGGATCCTGAAACTGTTCAACATTTAGATCGACATTCAGATTCCAAACAAAGCAAATACTTGAATTGGGATGCTGTTTTTAGGTATTCCATTCTCGTTTTTTTTTTTTTTTTTTTTTAGATTTTATTTATTTATTTGAGAGACATAGAGAGCACAAGTAGGCAGAGTGGCAGGCAGAGGGAGAGGGAGAAGCAGGCTCTCTGCCGAGCAGGGAGCCTGATGCAGGGCTCGATCCCAAGACCCTGGGGTCATGATTTGAGCCAAAGGCAGGCAGACGCCCAACCGACTGAGGCACCCAGGCGCCCCCCATCCTCGTTTTTTTTTTTTTTTTGGTTTTTTTTTTTTTTTACTGTCTTTATTTTTCTCTTTGTTTTTATTTGTTGTGATATTTTTGTGTATGTTGGTCTTATTTATCTTTGCTTCCTATATATTGTTGTGCCTTGCATATAAAGTTGGTGCTTAATATTTATCTGAAACATGATTTTTAAAGGATGTTCATATAGAAAAAGTTAAAGTTTTTAAGCCATTTTTCAGTAAAAGTTCTCAGATCTCACTCAAGATTAGAGATAATTCCTTTCATATTTGTTCATTCAGGAGTTTATTTAAAAAAAGACTATTTCAAAAAAAAATAAAATAAAAATAAAATAAAAAAGACTATTTCAAATTTGAGAATAAAATTAAGTTATAAATGCTTTATTATTACTTTTATATCTTTAAATATTGCTCTGAGTAACTGCTACATACTAAATTATAATTAAGAAAACAATTACAGAATAATTTCTATAGGAATGCAGTTAAAAAAATCAGGCGTTGGAAAGACAATTGATTGCTGGACTGGAATGCCAAACAGAATTGATGCTCTTTTACATTAAGATATAATTTTCAACTCTGAAGTCCATTTGTTTTTTTGTTTTTTAATTTTTTTTTATTCTTATGTTAATCCCCATACATTACATCAGTAGTTTTAGATGAAGTGTTCCATGATTCATTGTTTGTGCATTCTGAAGTCCATTTGTAACTAGAAATGGGTTGTAAAACTTAGGAAAAATGAATAAAATATTTTAAACTAATGTAGAATACTGGGAAGCTTGAAATACCATTTTCAGTCAAGGGGGAAGTATATTCATTTATTCTTAAGTGTTTAGAACTTTTATTTTTACCACTTACTTGGTACTGGATGGACTTACAGATTTCAGTGCAGATAACATAAAAAATGCATGCTTCTTTTTCTCTGGTTACTTAATTTCAAATACCACAAAAATAGTTGCTATCTAAAGGTGAGTATTATTTTGCATAAGCTGATCAGGTAGGTCCAGTAGGCACCTGGCACTTCCAGCTAATCATGAATATCTTCTAGGCAGGCTTCATTCAAAGGCTAGAAACATTGCCAACTACCTGGGAAAGGGTTGGGTTGTGTACAAAATAACAAGAGAGAACTGAGAGCCCTAATAGCATTGTAAGCTTTTAATAATAAAATGAGAAAACAAGCAGTAAAACAACCAGAAATCATGGAGGTTACAGTCTAGAACTTTGCAGAACAGACTTTAAATTGGTATTGTGGGGCTGAGGCCTTGAAAGAGGAAATTATTTTATTTAGCTGGTACATTGATTGCAGCATTGTGGCTTGAGAGATTCTCTTTGTGGTGGCATAAAGGACTTTTCAAACTGTTGTAATAATTTAAGCATTTAAAAAGTTTCTGAAATTCTACTTTGTTTTCTTGAAGATTTTTGCAGAAATATGTTCAGAAAGAAACAGAATGTCTGCGAACAGCGAAACCAAGTGTATCAGCCTCAACACAAGCCACTAGGCAGAAAAAGATGCAAGAAATCAGTAGTTTGGTCAAGTACTTCATCAAATGTGCAAATAAAAGTAAGTGCTATTATTTATTATAAATAGCTGGTTTAAAAGGTTATTGTTGCACGAGTTTGGTCGGAATATGGTGAGGTAAAAGTTGGGTGCTAACTCTAATTTCTAGTGCATATAATGGTTTTTAATATATGATCGGTTCAAATATTTGGAGGAATTTATGCAAGCATGGAATGATAGTCTCCAGGTTGGAAGGATTAAAAAATTAGTATTCCAAGTACGCATTCTTCTTGGATCCCCTCTATTTGTTCCTAGCACTTAGGTGTAGCCTTAATGATCGAACATACCTTTTAGGCTTTTTTTCCTATCTTGGAATAGCTTTAATAGTGGTGAAACCTGTCTCCTTTGTTACTGCTTCTGTCTTCTGATATAATACAGAAAAATCCTAATAAATTTTTTCAGAATGATATCCTTTGAGATATTTGAAGTTAGCTGTGACATTTCCTCTGAGTTGTTTTCTCTAAGCAGACGTACTTCCTTCAGCTCATATGACCTAGTTTTTGTGTCACTCTCTTCTGAATTTTCTTCAGTTTAGTGTAGGACTTAATTATAGCTATATTCTGATTGGTGCAGAGTGAGCATTAGCTTTCTTGGCAGTCAAAACCCACCCTCTTAAGTAACACTATGCCCGCTATTGATTAAAAAAAAAATACCCAGTGGTTTTTTGCTCTTGCCGAGCCACATATTTCGTGTTTTGAACTGGGGCGGTGGATATTTTAAAGAGTTGATATTTTTGACCCAAAGTTCAGGATTCCAGTAGGCTTATGTAAAGAAATTGGCTTCATACAACGCTGAAAGCAGGAAGTAGAAGTGTTTGTTTAGGGACTCGTGGGCTCAGACTTTGTTTATTCTTCACATATAAAGATGTGGCTTTGTGATACCAGGTTTAGTTTAAGAATCAGAAAAGCCATTGAATCACTCTGTTGGACACCTGAAAGTAACATAACACCATATGGTAACCATACTGGAATTGAAATAAGAAACTTAATGAAATAAAAAGAATCAGGAAAGCCGTGTTGGTAAACATTATTAAGTAGAAGGATATAGATGGTTAGTGAATGATATTTCGGAATGGTGGTATGAGACTTGAGTCTCAAAAGCAATGGTTTAGCAGAAATTTAGTTTTCCAGCTCTGAGGTGCCAGTTTGGACAGTGGCAAGCCCGTGTCAGGGACTCCGGCATAGACAGAGGAAAGCTACGTTGAAATACTCTGCACCTGCTTTTGCCCAGTATAATAGCCCTGCATTTATTAAAATTTGTTCTTTTGGCTGCTAACATTGGGTTCTTAAAAGATTTTAATATGTACTTGCAGAGTTATTGAGAGAAAGATACCCAAGCCCATTTGTTGCCCACCAGAAAAGTTTGCAGTGTGTGATTTTGCTTTACGGTGAAAAAACCTTCAGTTGCAAAATTAACAGTGGGGATCACATTGGGAAATGTGAAAGTATCACTGTCGGTTTACAGGAATGACTAGATGAAATTATCACTTTAAGATTATTTAAATGGGGGACACCTGGGTGGCTCAGTCGTTAAGCGTCTGCCTTCGGCTCAGGTCATGATCCCGGGGTCCTGGGATCGAGCCCCACATCGGGCTCCTTGCTCGGTGGGAAGCCTGCTTCTCTGTCTCCCACTCCCCCTGCTTGTGTTCCCGCTCTTGCTGTGTCGCTCTCTATCAAATAAATAAATAAAAAAAAAAAAAAAAAAAAAGATTATTTAAATGGTTGAAAAGTCGTGTTTTTATTTGAGGCTTCTTTCAAGTTTGACTTTGTAACTTAAACATCTTTAATCTCAGAACAAAACCAGAGCATTACTATCATATCATCTCACTTTATGTTTTTCAAAGAGTTGGGGAGTTGATGGGAATTTAAACACATGTCCAGACTTAGCGTTGGTATTCAAGGTATGATGAAAGAAACAGATTCCAAAAAGACAGCTGGGAAGGAAGCAATAAGCAAATATCATTTGTTCTTTTATGTAGGTGTTTGCTCTGCACGAAGCACAGATGGAGCCTAGAGAAGAGAAAACCCAGCTTTGTAAAATGTTAAGTTTTATGAGGTTCCTTAAATTCTCTTTAGCCAAGGTAGTTGTCCTTTGGAGGTGGATTTTCGTAGAAAAGAATGTCAGCATAATTCTTGAAACCTTTCTCAAATTTGGCGGAGGAAGGAAATTTGTTGAGATTAAGACCATAGGGAAATATGATTTTATTGTGACATTAATTTATGCAGTTAATAAATGTTTACTAAGCAAATACTATTTAGTACACTTACCGGGCTGTGTTACCTTACAGAGAATAATTAATTCCTTAGGGATGTTATAATATAGCAGATCAGTTAAGAGAATGTTGTAAGGACTGTAAGAGAGGGGCACAGGGTGTTACAGCAGAGGAATGTGATTGGACATTTCATCATTGGTCAGGTGCCTGAAAGTGTGATATAAGCCACAAGTAAAAATGATACACAATTATGTCAGTGTTTACTTATTTACCATAGTTTGATAAGAAAATGTTAAACTCCTCATAAGAAACCGCTAAATATATAGAAAATAATCAGATATATATATGACTTGTGATCTGTTCATAGCTTATAATAAAAAACATTATATGCCGTTTTAAGATTGTTAATATTGTGTGATTGTTAATAGTGTGATTTGCTGAAAATAAGAGACAGTTTTTAAATGTCCTTTTGTTGCCTTAAAGAATATATCCATTAATACTGAATTTTTAGGACCTCTAATAAATAAAACTGGAAATATTACAGCCTTACATATTTATGCCACAAATGCTTTTGTATGATATGAAAGTAATTTGGTTTTCAAAGCCAAATACCCTCCTTACAATCTTTTTTTTTTTTTTTTTTTGAAAGAAAGAGTGCACGATTTGGGGGTGGGGGACAGAGGGAGAGGGACAAGCAGGCTCCCTGCTGAACAGGACCCTGGGATCATGACCTGAGCCGAAGGCAGATGCTTAACTGACTGAGCCACCCAGGTGCCCCATCCTCCTTACAGTCTTAGGTTATTCTAATGAATTCATTCTTTGTAAAGTACCAAGAAACTTTGGATCAGGGGCGCCTGGGTGGCTCAGTTGGTTGAGCGACTGCCTTCGGCTCAGGTCATGATCCTGGAGTCCCTGGATTGAGTCCCGCGTCGGGCTCCCTGCTCAGCAGGGAGTCTGCTTCTCCCTCTCCCGCTCCCCCCTCTTGTGCTCTCTCTCTTTCACTCTCTCTCTCAAATAAAAAAAAAAAAAAAGAAACTTTGGATCATTTTAGGTCTAGAGCCAGAAATTGTGAATTTTTAAGGATAGGATGGATGATTGTTTTTGCTATATATTCCCATAAGGATCGGCCAACTTCTTTTGTAAAGGGACCAGTCAATGTTTTTGACTTTTCAGGCTATATAGTTTCTGTCTCAGTTATTCAGCTCTGCTGTTGTAACATGGAAGTAGCCTTAGACAGTATGTAAATGAACGGACATGACTGTGGCCCAGGAAAACTTTAGTTCCAGAAACAGGCAGCTGGCTGCATTTTGCCCGTGGGCCATGGTTTGCTAATCCCTGCTCCATGAGAAAGTGATTAGTTAATAGTAGTGTCCCATATGGGATTATTTATATAGCTGCAATTCCAAGTGTTCTTATGTTTCTTAAGATTTATATGTTTTTATTTGTTTATTTTTAAATAGGAGCACCCAGACTAAAATGTCAAGAACTCTTGAATTATATCATGGATACAGTGAAAGATTCATTTAATGGTGCTGTTTATGGAGCGGATTGTAGCAACATTCTGCTCAAGGACGTTCTCTCAGTGAGGAAATACTGGTGTGAAATATCTCAGCAACAGTGGCTAGGTATGTTTTGAAGTTTGTTATTTGTGAATTTTTTCTGTGAAATGAAATGTCACTAAAAGATTGGTCAGAATCTGTATCCCCCAAGTGACCTTGCAGTTTAACAGTATCTTAGTAAAATTGAATACTTCAGGATCCAGCCCTTAGTTTCCTTTATTATGGACTTCCTAAGTGATTGTCTCGATCAGAACTGGAACGACACAATTCAAAGAAGCCATCCCTGTCCTCGAGTCTTTCACAGGCCAGTGGCGGAAGAAACGAGTAAACCAAAAATTACAATGCACTATAATATAGATATGTTTGGGCTCCGTGAGTTCTCAGATCAATGACATTAAACAACCATGATTAAAGATAAAGAAGAAAACCAAGAAGGAGAGGAGGTGTCATAAAACTGAAAGCAGCAGAGTTTCAGGTTGGAAGGCGTATGGCATTTTAAGTGTGGTAGAAATGATAAAACACAGACGTATCCATTGGATTAGGCATTTAGCAGGTCACTTGTAAGGTGTAATAGGGGTCAAAAATAGTAGACTAGGATGTATAGGACCCAGGGACTATAATGTAAGTAGAGTGGGTGTCAGGGAGGAATCTACTGTTTTTGACTTCTAGGTGAAAGGTACTGAGGAACCACAAAGGAAGGAACTTATGGTCAGAGACTGAAACATTTGAGTTTATTGATTTCAGAGGTGGACCGTTTCTGTCTGAGTGGGTTCAATGGGTGAAAATGGGATTTGGCTTTAATGAAGTGACTCTAAGCCATTGTCAAAGTCTTCTAATACAGCCACCTCTGAAAATCTAGAAGCTCAGTGTTTTTCATGGAAAGTATTTAAAATAAATTGTGCTAATGAAATGAAAAGACACTTGTCTGTATTGTTTATTGTCAGTTTCTCATTTCAAAACAAGGTATGTGTGGGCGGTAAAACCGAGACCTAACCAGGGCCCTGCAGTATATTCTGTTCCCACATGAGTGAAAAGCCTTCTTAGCTGTTGTATGAATTTCTTAGGTGTCATCCCGCCCTTTGTTGTTCTTAGCGAGAGGGAGGCTGTGTCCCAAACTTGACCCTCACAACAAGTTTAGCCGAGAATAGGCTAGTGATATCCAGGACACTGTGACACGTCTCTCACCACCATGGTCCATCCTAAATATGCAGGAGGTTTGCATATTTTTGATTAGTGCTTCTAACCACAGGACTCACCCGAACAAAGGCGGTCCTTGGCTGTAGTTGCCATCCTGTGTCTCACATGTTCTCTGAAATCCTCTTTCTATTTTTGGGCTTATTACTGCCACTTCTCATAACCGGCCCTTTGATTGAATTATCTTGCTAGTTAGCTCCCTTGTCTGAAACTTGATTCTCTAGTGAGGACTGTACTGAAGAAGTGAAGTTTTTGTTCAAAATACATCTTTGGTAGAGGTGTTGATGGAACCCACAGTTAGAGGTAAGATTGTGTAAAGGGAGAGTTTTGAGTGGGATGAGAAGATGCCCTGAGGCCAAGCCAAATATAAAGTTTAGAATTAGCTTACTGATTTCTGCAAAAAGCTCTGCTCAAATTTTGGTAGGGATTGCACTGAATCTATTGAACACTGAAGGAAGTGTTCTAAAGAAAAGATTCATAGCAGCTATATTCTCAGTTTTGAAGGGGGAAAAACACTATTGATATAAAAATCTAATAGAAACAGAAGAAAAGGAAAATCTTTTTTTTAATTTTAATTTTAATTTTTTTTTATTTTTTTTAAAGATTTTATTTATTTATTTGAGAGAGAGAATGAGAGAGAGAGAGAGCAGGAGAGGGGGGAGGGTCAGAGGGAGAAGCAGACTCCCTGCTGAGCAGGGAGCCGGGACTCCAGGATCATGACCTGAGCCGAAGGCAGTCGTTTAACCAACTGAGCCACCCAGGCGCCCAAGAAAAGGAAAATCTATGCATAGATGAAAACAACAGTAAGCAGTAAAGGAGACTAAGACAGAGTTACATCAAATTGGGCACTTAAAACATCCGACCTCATTAGCTGGGGAAGCCCCGGCTGGAGTCTCGATTGGGAGGGCCTGGGCAGAGCGTCCTCCCCACAGGCGAGACTTCCAACTGACCATCCCCATAAGGGCTGTATTTGTAGGGCAGAGGACAGGGTTTGGAGTTAAACATTTCTGTACGTGCAGTTTGGAGCTAGTCACATTCCTGTATTATCATGTCTTTACATATTCAAGGAGCCTGGGCTAGGTGTGTTTGCCTCCCCTCCCAGATTCCATTGCTGGTGGGGGGACAGCCCAGCCTGGAGCTGGAGGGGATGTAAGGCAAAATTTATAGCTCTTAGTGTCCAGACCAGAAAGGCCACTTCTGACCTGGAAGCCAGCTCCCAAGGTCACTTATGCAGCACAAGTCTCACAAACAACATTCCTTAGCCTGCCTGTGCACGTGCAGGTCGGGGTGGTCAGTCACGCAGGCCAAACCACAGAAACCTCCATCCATACCAGATAGGAAGGACAGACTTCATAACCACATGGAATCTTCTAATCTGTGAACATGATGTATCTCTTTATTTGTTTAGGTCTTTTTTGACTTAAAGAAATCAGTGTTTTATGATTCTTAGCATACAGAATTTATATATTAGATTTATATTGCAGTAGTTTGTAAATTGTGTAGTTTTTAAAAATTTCGGTTTCCATATTCATTGCTGTCATACAGGTGGTTTTTGTGTTATTGATGTTGTGTTCTGAGACCTTGCTAAAATCACTTATTAAATCTAGGAACTCTTTTGTAGCTTCCGTGGGATTTTTCTCTTTAGACAGCCATATATTATCTGCATTTCCCCCCTTCATTTCTGAGCAGTGTGACTTCCACTTAATTTTTTCTGCTGTATTATATTGGCGGGGACCTTCAGTATGATTTGTTTAAATGGTAAAATGTACATGACATAAAATTTACTATTTTAACCATTTTTAAGTATATAGTTCAGTGGCATTAAGTATATCCACATTGTTGTGCAACCATCACCTTCCGTTTCCAACACTTGTTCATCTTCCCGAACCGAAACGCTGTCCTCCTTAAACAACAACTCTCCCTCCCTCGCCCACCCAGCCCTTGACAGTCCTCCTGCTTTCTGTATGTGTGAGCTTGACTACTCTGGCTGCCTCCTGTAAGTGAGGTCCTAACAGTGTTTGTCCTTTTGTGAATGCCTCATTTCACTCCTGTCTTCAGTGTTCATCCATGTTGTAGTGCATCTCAGAGTTTATTCCTTTTTAAGACTGACTTGTACGTGTATACCGCATTTTGTTTATCCATTCATCTGTCATTGGACACTTGAGTGGTTTCTACCTTTTGGCTCTTATGAATAATACTTTATGAACGTGAGCGTACACATAGCTCTTTGAGTCCTTTCTTCCATCCTTTTGGGTATTTATCTAGAGGTGGAATTGCTGCATCATAGACTAATTCTTTGTTTAATTTATTGGGGAACCCCCGCACTGTTTCCCACAAGGTGTGCATCCCCTACCCGTTTTATGGACGCACCAGGAATCACAGGTGTTCAGTTTCTCCACGTCCTTACCAACACGTACTCTTTTTCTTGTGTTGATGTCAGCCATCCTAATGTGAATGTGTGTGAAGTGGTATCTCATTGGGGTTTTGATCTGCATTTCCTTAATGACTAGTGATGTTGAATATTTTGCATGCTAACTGGCCATTTGTATATCATCTTTGGGAAAGAAACACATTTTTTGCCCAGTTTTTAATTGGGCAAATTTAATTGGGTTGTTTTGTTGTTGTTGAAATGTAGGAGTTTTTTATATATTCTGTATATTAACTCCTTATCAGATGTATGGTTTGCAGATACTTTCTTGCATTTCATGGGTTGCCTTTAATTCTGATGATAGTGTCCTTTGATATACGAAAGTTTTAAATTTGATGAGTACAAGTAATTTGTATAATTTTTTTGTTACCTTGGTCTTTGGTGTCATTTCCAAGAGATCATTAACAAATCCAACATCATAAAACTTTTCCTCTGTGTTTCCTTCTTGGAGTTTTGTAGTTTTTCCTCCAGTATAATTTTGAATAGGAGTGGTGAGAGCACACCTTGTTCTATTCTTGGTTTTAGGGAGAAGCATTCACTGTTTAACCATTAAACATGATAGTAGCTGTCAGGATGGGTTGATGACTTTCTCTTCAGTTTTTCGTTCCTCATGGTTTTTATCATGAATGGATGTTGAATTTTGTTAAATTTCTTTCTTCATCTGTTGAGATAATCCTATGGGTTTTTCTTTAGTCTCTTGATAGGTTAAATTACACTGATGAATTTTTCATAGGTTAAGTCAACCTTGTGTTCCCAGGATGTACTCCACTAGGGCATGATGTATTATCCTTTTTATATATTACTAGATTGAATTTGGAGGGCGTTGTTGAAGGTTTTTAACTATGAATTCAGTTTCTTTAATAGATACAGGAATATTTAGTTTATTTCTTTTTCAGTTAGCTTTGGTAATTTGGTTAAGAATTTGTACATTTTACCTAAGTTGTTGAATATAGGAACTTAGAGTTGTTCTCAGATGTTATTGCCTTTTTATCCTTTTAAGGTGTGTAGGCTCTGTAGTGATATTGTCTCTTTCATTATTAATTTCCTCATCTTATTATTCGTTCTTTTCCTATATTTATTTTGAGTTTAATTTGTTCTCTAGTTCCTTAAGATAGAAGCTTAGGTCATTGATTTGAGAGCTTCTTCCCTCATATGTGCATTTAATATAATAAATTTTTCTCTAAACACTGCTTTGTTGTATTTCACACATTTTGGCAATGTTATATTTTCATTTTTCTTCAGTTTAAAATATGTTCTAGTTTTTTTTTGAGACTTCTTTAACCTCTGGATTATTCGGAAGTATGTTGTTTAATTTCCAATTTTTGGGGGGTATTTTCGTGGTTTTTTGTTTTGTTTTCCCTTTTATAGTTTTCAGTCTAATTACATTATGGTCAGAGAACATACTTTTTATCATCTAAGTTATTTACAGTTGTTATGATTTCTT